CAGTGACATAACTACTGTACTCACTTGTCACATTTTTATCATTATCTCTACCAGCTAGCAGAGATCGCTAACTGGTTGTTAATAACTGTAATGGTTCACTGGCAATCTGAAGTCCTGGTCTCAGCGTTAAAGAAACATCACTTTTCTTACCTGAAATTTTTTTCACTCTTCACCCATTTCACAACACTAACAGAAAAATACAGAAAACTTACAGATATGGCAATGGACATGCCCTATGCTATAGAGATCAACAGTTTCAAACAGGTTTATAATAAAATACACTGCAAGTTCCACATCCTTTAACTCTTTCGGTTAAGGATATATAAGGATATACAGTATATTTATTCCTAATTATAATCCAGAAATTTCATTATTTAACTTAGACTATTAGTCCCCTCCCTGCTGATAATTCGCAAAAAATAAATATATATTATCATGTTGCACACATTATTGTAGCTTTCTTTGGTTCTGGTTACTTAAGTCAAAGGTTTGCAGTTTAAATGATCTAATTGGACTTTTAAACACGTGCATGATACAAGCAACTGTGTTTTTAAACAGAGCCTCGTTGTGGAATCCACCTTGAAAATGGCGACCTTGACCCGATTACTACCTCGAAGGGTGTATCACCAGAAAATTCAATAAAACTTCTTTCTGGTATAAAAGTAAGTTTATTTTTACTATGCAAAACCCAAGTGCGATCTCATAGAGGTTTGCCATGCGTCCATTTCGGTCCATTTCAGCCCATTTCGGTCCATTTCTATCCATTTCGGTCCATTTCTATGTTTTAAAGGACCCGAATAGAATACCATTACGCCCGGGTATACTTTAAGTTTTACTTGTAGATCTAGCCACCGACAACCATTTTGTTTCTCTTTCGTTGTGGATTTCACTTCTCCAAATGACGTGTATATATTACAGATATCCAATACGCAGGAGACCCTAAGAATAGTAGCGAAAGGAGTCTGTCCCCCTCCCCTCGGCCACATTCTTCATTAGGAATCTGGTGTTCAAGTGAACGAATGTCTTTAACTGCAATTACTAACTGCTGCTGCACCAATTAGTACAAGTACCATTGTGCCCAAAGTAGACCCATATGCTTAATTCAAGGTTTATAAAATTACCAGGGTTCCCAGCCTATCGATACCTGTAAATTGGGGAAATCTGGAAAATGACTCCCCCTTTTCCATGGTCAGACATTCGCCTTCTGTACACAATTGTTCATCCCAAATTATGGCTTAAGGGCCTGCAATAGCTGTTTATTAAAGCTGTTTAAGGCAAGAAATATGTCAGATTTTTGGCCCTGGAGTTTATAATAACTCCCATTAGAAAATCTTGACTCCGAGGTTTTATTGCTGGGCCCCTATGACGACGGCGTGTGTAGAGGCGGTGAGATCATCATGGAATTAGCGACATCGCTTTTGAAGTGTGGTTGACCATATTTTGTTGGCGGATCAGTTAGTCCTCGGATCATCTATTCTGAAGTGTACCCTAGTCCGATCTTCTGAATGCGTCCTTAAAATTTCAAGTGTGTGAGTTATGATCAGAAAACTCAAATTACTGCCTTCCTTGACAGCACAACTGCTTTTACATGTCATTTACTTTGCACTTCAGACCAACTGTGGCTTTTGTTGCCTGTCATGTCACAAAGAAAGGTACTTGAAACAAGCCAGCACAGAACTAAGATGTTTTAGATACCCTGTTAAACAAACTTTTCCCTGGTTCTGGCAGTATAGAGACAAAACCTCAGGAGCTGATGATGCTACATCAGAGGAGTGAGTATTTCTTTACTAGTGTGAATTGATTATTATATTATTATATTGCAGCAGTATATGCATTCTACTATTTCATTCGAACATAACATACATGATTATTACTACATGGTGATTATTACTAATTGTTCTTTGAGTTACATGAATCTCAATACACAAAGTCTGTCGCTATGATAATTTACTTCATATAGGGACCCAATTATTAACTTAACATGTAACTTGGAGATACATTTCTCTTCATTTTGATTTTTCTCTTTAAGATTAACAGAACTGTCATATAATCATATAGCAGATGAAACTCTTCATTCCTTGACAGAGTTTTTAGACGAATTGTCAGAAAGTGGATTTACTCATCCAGATTATGATGTTGGTTTTAATGTAAGTATATATTATTCACTTCAAATCAATTTTTTTTTCCTTTTTATTTTGTGATATCTTCATTTGGTACAAAGGGCAGTTTTGTGAGTTATTTAAAATTAATCAAAAAAATCAGCAGTCTTAATTTGAAAACAGTTATAATGTAATTGTAGACATATATATTATGATATAATGTAATAAAATGACACAAATGGATGTTTCTTCTTTCTAAAGATATTTATATGATAAAGTCACCTAATAGTAATAAAAAGTTAAATTAATTTTTTTTAAATTTCAGAATGGAGTACTGACGATAAACATGGGAGACCGTATCGGTACTTATGTGATCAATAAACAAACTCCAAACAAGCAAATATGGCTTTCTTCACCTTCAAGGTAATTTTTATGATACAAGCACCAGACACCTTATTAGTTATAATTTATTAATTTATTACATTACATTCATCTACACTAGAGAAACTTAAAATGGTGTTTGTAAAATGATATCAAATTACAAATGTTGTAAAATACATTCCATAATTCCGAGTTACAAAAAATTAAAACGCCTATTCAGTTTTTGATTGTATATCATACAAATATCTGACATATTTTGCCTAACTTGAATATTCACTTACACACATAACACATCTAAAAGATCATGTACATTTTGCACACGTGTGCGCGTGCGCGCGCACACACACACACACACACACACACATTAAAGATCTTGTACATATTTACAATGATTGTTTTCTAGTGGCCCTAAAAGATACGACCTTGTCAATGGAGTCTGGATATACAAACATGATGGCGTAAGTCTACATGAACTGTTAAGCAAAGAATTTTCTGCAGCACTAGAGACAGAGGTGGACTTCTCAAGCTGTGCATTTTCTAAAACATCTGATGGATGATGAAAATTTGTTGAACCTTCTTTGAGACACTGGATAGAGATTAAATTCAGGTTGATTTTGCCAAACTTATCTTCTGTCTTGATTCTTCATACAATAGGTATATGATGAATGTCAGTGGTCTTTGTAAAATTGAAATGGCACCTCACTTGGATTTTTTATGTGGTTGTTAATTTTGGTTCCCTTTTTTGTTTGAGAAAATTGAGTAGAAGTAAAGCTTCTATTACAAGATATTTTCCAGTGAAAATGCTTTAAAAACACTGCATTACTTTGGCTGATTTGTGCTTTTTAAAAATGTAAGTACTTTTAAACTAAAAGATGTCACAAGTAAAAAATCTGCTAAAACTGTTCCATTGCTTTTAAAACTGAAATATTACATTTACATCTTTTTGATAAAACACTTTGGAAAGCATTTATAATCAATTTAAAACTAAAACTGAAGATATCACGTCTTGGATAAAGTAGAATCATCAAGAATGCTTTTCAACTGTGTCATTTTTCTCCAGAAAAGTAAGTTCATACATATCATCATCACCACAGTAAATGATAAGACAGTCACCCAACCCAGCAGACCACTGTACATTTGGTGGATATTCTCCAATTCTGATACCACCAGTGTTGGCTGTGCTCTCTGGTCTGTGTTATTGCCATGCAGACTTTGGTGTGCACCTGGCCCACCTGACCCTACAATTTAAATAGGTGGAAAAAAAGTTGACTTGGCTGTTAATTTGTGTTTGTGTTTGATGCATGGATAAAGTTAATGCATTGTTAAAATGAAGGAAGTGAATGTTAACATATTGATAATAAAATATTATGGAAATCAGACATGAGTCTGTTTTTTATTAAGTCAAAAGCTATGAAAGATTTGCAATTTTTAACCTTTAAATGGACATTTTAGCTGTATTAAAAACATCTCTGTAATACTGTAATATGCATATTCAAATTTTATTATCTTAGATTTTGTCTGCCCTTAAAACATAATTCTGTAGAAACATATTTAAAACCTCTTCTAGGTTAACCTTGAATGCAACTTCAGTGCAATTATTACTTTGGTGATATCCCATCATACCTGATACATAGTCATCATGAGACCCCAGAGACCTGTCTCCATGAGGCTGGGGAGATTTTGGAGACTTTGATGCCTCTGAATGGGGAGATCTGGTGGGCCCCGGTCCATCTGAATGGGGAGATCTGGCAGGCCCTGGTCCATGTGAATAGGGAGACCTAGTAGGCCCTGGTTCATGTGAATGGGGAGATCCAGCAGCCTTTGGCCCATGAGAATGTGGAGATCCAGGGGACGCTAATGAAGAATTACTGCTATCACTGCTGTTAGCAAATGAATCTTGAATATGGGGATGTCTGCCAGGCCCTAGTCGAGGAGTTTTGTGATGCCCCTTGGACCCTGGTCGAGGAGTATGGGGTATGCTGTGATGCCCTGGTCGTGGAGTATGGGGAGGGGTGGGGTGCCCTGGTCGAGGAGTGCGGGGAGGGGTGGGGTGCCCTGGTCGAGGAGTGCGGGGAGGGCTGGGGTGCCCTGGTCGTGGAGTGCGGGGAGGGGTGGGGTGCCCTGGTCGAGGAGTGCGGGGAGGTGTGGGGTGCCCTGGTCGAGGAGTGCGGGGAGGGCTGGGATGCCCTGGTCGAGGAGTGTGTGGAGGTCTGGGATGCCTGTGTTTGCTTTTTTTGGGTGAGGAAGAGTTGGTGGACAGGCAGGCGTAGCTTCCAAAAGTATTTATACAGGTTTCATCATCATTACATGGTGATTCTGCAGATTCACACTCGTCGACATCTGTAAAGAATTAAAACATGTTAGAAACTATTCAAGTTTTCTAAGAACACAACACACACACGAGAGAGGTTTCACAACTCTTGCCTCACCAAAAAAGCCATAACAATTTCGTAGTGCTCATTTCATAAAAAACAAGGTGCATTTTTTACATTGCTCAGACTGTACAGGAGGATAAGCATATACATTCAATAGTGATACCTTTCATGCAATAAATCATGATATTTGGTATTTTTACAATTTTTCTTAAGTCCATGGCAATCACATTTTTGAAAAGAACTTTAACTCTTACCTGTGCATGTTTGTCCGTTGTCTGCCAGATTGTAGCCTGACTCGCACTCACAACGATAGCTACCCGCTGTGTCTATACAGAATTGATCACATCCGCCATTGCGCTCAAAACATTCGTTTACGTCTGTAAAATATCATTTATGAATGAATCTTTTAATGAAGATGCACTGATTCTTGGGACATACTTTCTTTAGTGTTTTGCTGGACCACACTAGTTTAATGTTTTTTTTTTTATTTTAATCTGCTCACGAGCGATTAGCCTGACAGTGGAGTTGCTCGCAGAAAAAATATGAGAAATTTCTTGGCACGATGTAACACTATTCTAATATTAAAAAAATAATCACTCACTTGTGCATTCGGTTCCATTTAAAAGTTCGTTAACACCTTGGAGCGCCTTGCACACGCAGATTGGTTCGCCGCCATGTGCACTTGTGCCCACACAGCGAAAAGAAGACGTGTCCGTTACTGAAAAGAAAACACCCAATATCAAATGGGACCTTTGTACAAACTATTTGATGTTTCAGTTATAAATTTGCAAGGAAATATTCTTAATAAAAATAAATACTTTTGGGGAGTTCGCGTACTAAAAGCCGGAAAACGGCAAGTATATTTTGGCGACCTCCACTGCATTCTAAGGAATGTGATGATCTAAGGGATTTTTTCATACTTTTCTCTTTTAAAGGATGACAGTAACTTTTCCCTTTAATTTCATCAGCATTCCCAAAATTTCGATATAAAATTTTGTCCTTTTTGTTTTTATACACTTCACACAAGTTATCAATAAAAATCGTATAACAGTTATCAATAAAAAAAACGCTTTATTTTTATTGAAATAATACAGATTATTTCATTCTTATTTACTTACCGTTCGTATAACACGATCGCTCGAAAAGAGTAACATTGTCATTGCTAATTACATTCTCTTGGACTGTCGTGCGTATTGTAGACGTGGAGAGCACACAGTCACCAGACGAGAAGGAATCAAAGGTTGTTAAAACAAATTGAACAGACTGACAGACAAACGTATTTTCTGCGTCACACAAAGCTTGGCAGGCTTCTGCTGATGCTATTCCTCTTGATATCTTGCTGTGACCAAGGAGCTGGGTGGCTGGTATTTCAGTGTATGTGCAGTCTACGTATTCTGAAAAAATTACATTTGAAAAATAAGTAAATACAGAAATGTTTTTTAAAAGTTCCTTTGGTGCACAGCCAATTTAATTATTTGAAAAAGAATGAAGAAAGAAATACAAATGAAATAGAAAGCACAAATGAAATAAATTAATTAAACGACAGTATTGAAATACTTTGTCAATAAACAAACGAAAATAAACTAACGCCGATGACACCGTTACCTGCATCCCTGGCAGAGGTAATTAATTAAGATTTTCACATTTTAATTTAAAAATATTATGAATTACCCAGGCAATCGGAAATTTGCGGCACCAGTCTGTATCCAGGGCGACAGGAGCAGTAATGGCCATCTGCCGTATCTATACATACTTGTCCACAGGCACCGTTATCTGCCGCACACTCGTTTATGTCTGGAGAAAAAGTTTTGAAAATAAGTTAGTTGTGACAAATTCAGCCCAATTCTTTAGCGCCGTTATCCTTGCCCTTTTCTTTTATAACAAAAAATTTTAGTATTTCTAGAGAGAGAGGTGTGGAATGATGCTTTATTAGAAACCAGTCTAGAGCACAAAAAAGTTAGTACTTTACTTCTATCATGATTGTTGTTTTGTGTCACTAAACTGTAAGTATTCGACCAGAAGTGAAAGTAGACTCATTCAAAAAATAACTGCTTGCGAAGGAGACTAATGAATGGAACACTGAAGCCATTGGTGTTGTTATTCTTGCGAACGGAGAATCAACGGTACACGCCCACTGAATGTTTAAATGAATTTGCATGTTACGATTCACGACGACACATTCCGTTGTATGGACATGTGTAAAATACTCAAAATTTTTCTTGCATACAAATTACCTTAAAAGTATTTTGAACGACTACTTACTAGTAACAGAGCCTGTTGGTCCGGTTGGTCCTACAATACTCTCACCAGAATCCCCCTTCTCTCCTGTCGGCCCAGTGGGCCCCGTGGGTCCTACAGAACCCGTCTGACCCGTGTTACCAGGGGGCCCCATAACCCCCGTGTCTCCTTTTAAACCTTGCGGACCTAAAACGATATTAATGTGGGTCGTCTGTAGTGTTTCGTTTGAAACTACTTAGACTGTTTGTTTAAGTGAGAGGGTGAACAGCATAACGCCAATTGGGTATCTTCACAAAATTTTTGCTTTCTGTAAAGTCTTTTTATTTTTGATAAATACCTTGCGTGCAGCTCACCTGTAGCTCCCGTTGCTCCAGCCGTCCCATTCACTCCGGGTGTGCCAGGAACCCCGTCTACTCCATCCAATCCAGGAAGTCCATTCAAGCCAGTCGGTCCTGTTACACCAACCGCTCCCTTCATACCAACGTCACCTTTTGGGCCAGGAGGTCCTTGGGGACCCGGATTTCCGTCTCTACCGTCCACTCCTGATGCACCAATGGCCCCCTTCATTCCCGTTAACCCTGCAGGACCCGTGGCTCCAGTAGGCCCCGCTGGCCCCGGCAACCCACCTATGCCGTCAAGTCCATCCAGTCCGTCCGGACCTGTGGGCCCAGTCGGTCCTGTTGGTCCCTGGCCCCTGCCTAGATAACCAGAGCGATGTTTTCAAGTTTAAGGCTTAGGTTAAAACAATATCGAAGGGATCACGTTGTAATCTTTTAAAAAAGTTTGCTTACGTGATAGTAAGATGTGAACTTTGGTGAAGGGTAAGCGGTTTGTGCAATTTTAGGTTGTTACGATATTCATGATTTGCACCGAGTCGCTGAATCCCATATTCTAGCAGGTCCACCATTTCGAAAAGCTGGACGTTGTCCATCTCTCTCACAGTTCATCTCTCCCAGGTACCGATAGTATACTGCAAAACTGAGCACATAAAGCATGCTTCTTGGAGTTCTGTGCCTCTGTGTATTTATTTTACCCCCCCCCAACCCTCCTTTGTACCGGTAAGAGAATGATTTTGAGTGAATGAGTGCTATTTGAGCCCATATCTGATCTGGAAAATGGTGCCCACTAACACTCTATCTACCAGGGCCACAGATTGATTTTTCACTACATACTCACGGATGTATTTCTGGCTAATTCTGTTTCTGGCACGGCAGAGAAAATCGTCATGAATTAGCGGAGACATTTGCGTAAATATCCAGTGAAAATTAATCTGTGGGCCTGGTAGAGGATAGTACCTCCTCATATTAGTCCGAACACTGAGGCATCTCACGCGAACGTCTCAGATGTCGAATCAAACATGTCGCAAATTGACTTGTGGATATGGCAACAGAAATGAGAATTTAATGAAGAACAAATCTGATGGTTAATTAGCAAGATCACACTTACCAATAGCGATACATAAAGCGCTGGTCAGCCATATCTCTCGCAGTCTCATGCCTGTGAAATAATTACGCTAGTGCAGTGGACCAATTCTAAAAAGTCAAGAAAAGTGAAGAAACTATGAGCAGTTGGACATTGTACCTATTTTCATAACTAAATTACCAGGATGAAAAATAACACCCTGTATGTGCCTGGGGTAACTTCTTTCTGAAATAGTATGGGCACTGAGCAAGATCGAGAAAGGTGGAAAACACCCTTAGATAGACCCCTTACATGGCGACCAAACGACTATGATATCCAATAATGCATTAATTGCATAGGGATACAGACACCATTCAACTTCTTTCCATGAAAAAAATAGAGGATAGAAACATAAAATTTGAGACTTACCTCATCAGATAGGACTACCTTTTGCCTCTCGTCGTGTCTGCAGTCAAGCCAGAATGACGCACCAGCTGGTTTATGTCCCTCCTTTTCCTCCAGGTCACAACGCCCCAGCACCCGATTGTTTTTCGGCTTCACAATGAAGATGTAAGAGAAGATAACACACAGGATCGAAAACGATGGTCAACTTACCGTGAGCATCTATCTCTCAATAGATTTTATCTCAGGTAAAATCTTCAACCTGACCATGGCTTGGACTCGTTAGACCACTTGCTTTGACACAGATAATTGGCAGACATTTCTTACAGCTGGATGGAGATGATGCCACATATTTTCAAAGGGGCAATTTATATAAATATGAAGACAAATGCTTCGGTTTTTTCCTGTTGTGCATCCTGTCTTTGAAATTTCTCAAATCCGAATATTCTAACGTTTGTTTTCTGCCCAGCTAGCATTTTCAGAGGAAACTTATATTTTTTATGTGTGTGTTTTTATGTATGTGTGTGTTTATGTAATACATGTATGTGTAGAAAAAGTCCAACCCCAGCACAGCTTCAAAAGGCACACACACCATTCTTTCTGCAATTTGTATCTGCATAACATGCAATACTTAGCTAGAATTAGCAGTGGTGATACACATTGGTCTTGGTTTTCGTATGTCTTTGCACGAGTTTGACAATGCACGATTTCCACAGATTGTTGAATTATTTAATGATTCAAGGAGTTTCACAATGAAGATGATTGATTGTAGTCAGGACCACAATATCCTAAACAAAATCCTACAAAATACTACATTGTCGCAACTACTGCAGCGAGGCCATAGCACCATGGCATCACGGACTGCGGGTACTTTTCCCAATCTGCATGTTTCTGTTTTGATATAAATATCCAAAACTTGTCTTGAAAAGCAAGCGTGGTTGTTATTGTTGAAAGACCCTGTCAAAGGTGTATAGGTCCCTCGATAATGATTGATATTTCAAAATAATTTTAAAATGCTTTAGAAATTTCCCTCTTACTTTTTGTTTTCACAAAAAAAGAAAGAAAACAAACTTCAAAAATGCGATTTATATATTTTATTTAATGCATCAGAGAAAAACAAATATTCTGTACTTCTTTCAAGTAGCTTATCGGTGACCTTTCTATTCAGATTTAGATTGGTCAATTGGTTGGAAGAAGCTGCTGGGTCAAAAATGCAATTGATTGTCACACATCCAGTTTTCTTGCATGGAGGTGTCAATTTTCTCTCCTAACAAGGACAGCCTTTAATTATCTTGACAACTTTCTCTAGGCGTTGGTATAAGGGTATTGAATTGACGAGCCAAATATTTAAAGCCAACTTGGAAGCAAGTTCCCCTTCATTTTCAAGAAATACAGGTAATTACAATTTTGAAATAAGAATAAATGGCGACACGCGTTTGGATGCACACGGCAAATGGGTTGGAAAAGCGATAATGGTGATAATAATGTTAATGACGATGACTATGATGGGGGAGACAAGTGCGAATATATAAGCCATTCGGCAGCTCTTTTTTTTTTCTCTCGTTATGTTTTCTTACTGCCCATAACAATGTTTTCGACATTATCGCAAGCGAGAGTGCCAAATATTTAGTAGTGCTTACAAATTTGTTGTATGAAGGAGTCAGCAAGTCTTTGAAACAAAAGCACATATGCCTGAACAGTCCCTGTAAGACAAGTTATGGTATTATTATACGTTATATTTTCCTGAGATATGCATTGCTATTTATGTAGGAGAAAATACTCATAAAAATTTAACATATGAGTCACCTGAATTACGAACACTTTTTGGTAATATTTGCGTAAGTCATACTCTTGCTCTCTCTGCTGTATTTATAGTAGCCTCCATGGAATCGACAACGATAATAATAATAATAATAATAATAATAATAATAATAATAATGATAATGATATAGTTTTATAAACTACTGAGTATGAGATATCTTATTTCTTTTAAGGCATGACTGAAACCATTTGCTCGTGCTTCAAGGTGCCACATGATGAGCTTCTCCAGAAGGTTAACTACTTCGGCTACATCAGGCTCCTGGGCCCAGAGTTCAATAATACTAGTATAATTTCCATCTTTGTGAATGTCTGTTCCCTCGTTATTTATGTATTTTTCTAGTTTCTCTAGAGCAACTGATCGTAGAGCATTGTTTATTATCTAAACCGTGTATGCATTAACAAGGAGAATAGAATAGGATGGCGGTTTCATATACTGGTATTAATCTGTATGTACGGTGTAATTAGTTGCTGAAGTAGGCCAAAAAGTCAAGCACATTTATCGCCATTTATTTTGGAACCAACATACCAGAGTGCCTTCTACAGATGTACATTGATGTTCCACATTTACAAAAATAAATAAATAAATAAATAAATAAATAAATAAATAAATAAATAAAAATAAATAAATTAAGAATGGTATTCCATGGCGTAATCGGTAGAGACATACAATTAGCAGCGACAGAAGTCAGTAGGTCGCAATGAGCATGTTTTCTTCCGACAGTATTCTAGCTACCTTCCAGAATGACAGTATAGCACATATCTACGTCAGTTTTGTGATTTTAGACATAGATCCTTTGGTTAATTCCGCCTGAACCCAAGATCCCGCATGATACAAGCAATATTCGCTAAAATAATCGATATACTATGTGATATGCAACGCACTGCACCTATTTTATTTTAGAAAAAGAGTTGCAGTTAACCACATTATGAATAAACTTGAAAAGTCCGGAAATAAACTGAATACAACTAAAAGACAAGATACCGTTTTGATAATCAACCCATAACTCCAAACATTGGCATATTTGTATGTGCACGCTGATGTCTAAAGCTTAAGCTAACTTATTGCAAGTGTATTTTTAAACGTCAGTGCGATATTGGACCTCGTATGACCCCGAATCAAGATTAAATGTATAAATGCTTCATTCCGAAAATTTCACCTATACGCGTATTATAACTAACCAAGTAAAGAGAGAGAGAAAGAAAGATGCGCATGATGGTCACATGACAGAATAAAAGACCCGTAGCTCGGAGGTCATGTCTATGCTATTCTTCGTCTTTTCCTTGGATTAAATACCCGGTGCCTTTCCTCATCCAAGCAAAAAAGTTTATTGGGTCCTAGATCCAAGTGAAGAAATTGGTACCAACAGGATCTGCTGGGGAGCTACATGCGATAGAGAAGCGTCTTATCCATGAAAATGGAAATACTCTGTCGATTGACACAATAAAAACCAAAGATGATACGTATAGACGTAGCAACTACCGATATACTTTTATTGGGCTGCCTTATTGTATATGGACGTATAAATTTTCATTAGTCAAGATATCTCACACTAAAATATAGTCTGTTATTTATTGTGTTGAATTTTTCAATCAAAGTTTTAAAGACCGTTGTCTGCCAATAATTCCCCCTTTTTTTAATTAATCAACATTAGTTTCATTTTGCAGTGCAAGTTGTTCCGATCTATATTCTTTGACATTTTTGTCCCTGAAGAGCCTCTATGTGCTATCACCTGTTTCGATGTTTTAAATAATTCACCCAGTTTGAATATAGTCCTATAAATATATGAGCGGTTTATGTATAGAAAAATGAAATAAAATACCACACCTATTTTTTCACGTCACCACTGACTTTAAAAAAATTCAACTAATAACCTTCTAATCACAAGTTGATAATTGATGAATGCAGGGAATAGTTTTCGACTGCGTAGATAATTTTCTGCTATAGGGTTGATGTAAACCAACATCTAAATTATATATTTTTTCACGAAAGATAGAATCAAGGAGAATATTTAATCACTTGTAAATCACTGATATTTTCCCTATAATATATAAATACCTTTCATCAATTTTTTTTTTAAATTTAAATCAAAGAAACCTACCTCTAGTGTATATCCTTTACTATTTCACTGTTTATTGTCTTTTTCTGTATCTTTCAGTTATTTGAGAAGTACCGGTATGTGTCACATAACATGAGCGTGAAAACAGAAAACCATGTGGTGTCGTCGGTCAGAGCACCGAGCTCGTGGATCTGATCACATCATCCACCCCCTCGTATATGTCGGGCCCTATAGTAAGTACCAGAACAACAGGAGGCCTCGCATTTACTCCTGCGGCACTAGTACTTAGTGTTGAGCCCTGGTGGTGGGGGATATAAACAGCAGAAAACGCAGCGTTTTCTGCGGATTCTCGTGCCCTATGTTGCCTCGAATTATAATGCAATATTGCACCACCAATAATTCCAGCGTTTTTTATTAAGAGCGAGGCGCGCCTGAGTCATGTTGGGTGCTTGGACCCAAACGTTTTTCGCGGGAGCTAGGGTTGTGTGAACCTACCAGGCGATAGTAAGCAGTAGAGTGCAGGTAATAAGTTGAACCAGCGTTACCTGCGGCACTACTACTTAGTACCGATGGCTGCGATGTTGTATCGGTTACATCAACGCAACTTGTTCTCGAGGTCATTCGCGGTTGGTTCAGTGTCCAGCGAGTTCGAGGCATGGCCGGTTACGTGCACTCCGCTTCGTTAAATTTCGAAAAGAAAATTGGACATATGTTTTGTCGTCTATCCTTGCTTTCGACAGCTACTGTGTGAGACTGCTGACGTGTCTGCCTGACGATATTCCCAGTATCATTTGGGAAACGGTGATATGATCAGGGTAGAGAATAAACTCCTAGTTTTATGCAGGTCCTCACAATGTGACAAAGCTTTTTTCAAGACCAGGAAAATTTTAAAAGGGAAATACTGGTAGTATAGTCCATGTCAGAAAACGAGCTGTTGTTTTCAAAAATCGATAAAATCAACTGTTCACGCAGCATGAGGGGCTGTAATTTCACCTTTGTTGAATCTCACTTCTGCTGATGTCTTTTTCGAGTATCTGGTTCCAGTTACCGCCTTACAGCTGACAAAGTTACCAAAAAGCCTCCTAAAAGTTGAGCAATCGAACAATGATGGTGTACCTTGTTATCGGTTTTCGATCCCAACTAAAGCCCCAGCTCTCATCCTGAGCTACTGGCAGATACACTGAACTACTACCCATTGGAACGACCCATTTAAACACCATATCCTCAGTCATTGCAGAGGAAAATCAACCGATTATACGTA